GAAATATTTAAACAAAATTTTTTAGGGACTGTTCTACGAGAAACTGTATCACACTGTATATTTAATCGTGTTTTAAGTGTGTTTAAAAAAGCATGAAATTATTTAGTATATGGAGTTTTTTTCCAAGACATCTTTCATTAAAAAACGAGGTTATAATTAGCCAAAATCTTCTTTCGCATATTTTTTATATGAAGAGAGGTTCTTTATTTCTTTAACGAACTTGCCGCGTTTAATTTCGTAATAACACGATTCCTCTTCTACGTTTAGCGGTCAGCTTTACTATTTGCCTTGACCCTACTGGTCAATAACACCAGTAGAAGACTCGACGCCGCATGTAGTACGATGGACATATGAATGTTATTGCCACACCCTACCATATTTTATCTTACGATTAGTTCGAAGGAATGGTAATAAATAATTCTTTAAAGCCCTGTCTGCACATATCGTTTTGCCTGTCAGTTTTACGTGTCAGATAAAACGGAAAAATGTCTAGAAAACTGACTCTTTATTTTTTCTGTAAATACATAATATTATATTTTATGATAGCATGTCATTAGATTCTATTTATGTAATTTCTAAATACCATATGTGTGTATGTGAAAATTCAAAGGGAAATATGTTAAATATATTGTAATGAATATGCACTTTATAACATTTACGACTGTTTTTAACACATTTTTTGTAAAGTGATTGATACATGTATTGAATTGAATGAAATCTAAATTAAAATATCTATACCTACATATAGTTGGGCTTTGTAGATGTTTAGTCAGCCGTTCTTTGTACATAATTAGAATTAATTACCGACATGAACCGAATGTATATTACATATTGAATTAATTATGCCGAATAATTTAATAAAATTAGTACCATGCAATCGATTCGAACTCGGTTCATGGTCTGGCGGTGCTGATTAAATGAACTTTATATGAAAAAATATAGTCTGTTTTTAACATATATTCTGGCTTTATATGGTATTACAAACGGTAAACATCAAGTTATGGTCCTTTATAAGAACTACAGAAGCAAGCTATAGATTGATATAAAAAGTAGACTTTGTATGAACAAAGTTTGCTACATTCAGTGGCGTACGCGTTGATATAGGTTTCCAGGTTGTAGTTTGTAGATTTTACAGATGTTACCAAAGGGTTTTCCACTCACAAAATCTGCATTCACCCTTGTTTTGGTTTGGTTTTAGCTTCATTTTACTAAGGTGTTCATTAAGGACACAGTGTCCTGGTAAAAACATCGTGACAATCCGTAAATTATTCGGTCATAAGTCCTGAGAGATCTCTTCGAGTGTCTTAGACCGATGGAGCATTCCCATTCCAGGTTACGGAGGGAGTCTTCCAGGTTCTTGAGTTCTGCTCTAAGTTGGTTTCCACTTGAGAAGCAGAACGGTTCTGGTTCAGTTAGTAGAGTGTTCGCTCCTTTTCTAGCTAGATCGTTTGCTTTTTCATTACTTTCTATCTCTTGGTAGACTTGCAGCCAGCGTAGGAGCATAGTATAAGAAAACTAGTAGCTTTACTCCTTGTCAAATCCTTTGTTCTTTTTCTGCCACTTTATATGACCTTGTTCTCGCGTCCCGTGAGCACTGACGTAACCGTTCCAGAACCGGGGCTATTTTACGGAACCGGTAATTTCGGTACCATGCCTGTAAGGAGCCGGGATTTTTTTGGGTACAGTTTTTTTTTGGTACTTTCGGTACTAGCAAATTTTTGTCAATGATGGTGCAGTTCGTTAAACAGCAAGCAAGTGATGGTTGTCAAAAGTAAAATCGATAAAAAATTGAGGTTTTAATGAAAATAATATCAAATTATTAAGTAGTAATCAAGTAATCAGTCATGAGAAAATTAACCTAAACTCAAACATGATCATAAATGACTCTTAAAAAAAACTCAAAGCATAATTTTTAGAATTATTACTATAATCAATAGCAGCACACAGTGAGGCACTCATTTTTTGTCAATTCGTCTCTGTGCTGGGACGCAACTCTCGAACCTCGCAGGTCGACGGACGAAACTCAACTGAAACGCTCTGCAATCTGCCGATATTCGACAGATTGTAAAAACTGGCAGAGAATATTTGGGAGAGTGTAACTACTCTTTTCCTTCTACTATGGTCGGAGGACTTTTGGGATTTCCAGATTAGAATCATCTAATCTATCTTAAAATTCTGGCCTAATAATTTTTTGCGACAATTCAAAAATTAGTGAAACCCTTGGTGAAACCAAACTACTCTTATTAAATTTAGTACAAAACTTGAGGGTATGATCTAGGTAATATAGTAAAATTTACTCAGTGTTTTGATTGTAAAGCAGAATTAAATCAAACAGTAATTTAAAGTAACAAATATACTTCGGTTTGTATTTTTGCAGTTTATGTACATATATCCTGGGATACATTTATTAATGAATCCTGTCGGGGTGAAAATCTTTAGGTACGTCACTGGCCATAGTCAATTTCCGCTGTTCCCATTTGGTCAAATGTATGCCGAAATTGATTCCTATTCATTTATACTTCACATCGACCGCTTTGTTAATCTGGATTATTCCACGTCGCCCATTGTTCTGTCGGGTGCTTTTTGGTGCGAGATTTAAAATTAAACCCAAAATAGGAAGACAGAGGCATCCAGACAGAAGATGATGCTAGAGAAGATAAAAAATACCGATCGAAAAAAAACGGTGTCAAAGAGGGTTAGGGAATGGCAATCGATGATAATTTTTTTTCGAGGTTAAGCCCTAGACGTCATATACTTGATCAGTATTCTTCTTTATTTATTAAGAAACCTTAAGAAGCTTGTAATTTAGTTTTATAGTGTGTAAAATCCTATCCTTTTTTAATCTTTCTATAATTCCTGTTAATTTTTGACAACTTTTATGTAAATTGTAATAATTGAGGTCTAGAGATTGACCTCCCGAAAATTATCATCGATTGTCATTCCCAAGTCGTCTTTGACGCCGTTTCTAGGGTTCCGTACCCAAAGGGTAAAAACGGAAACCCTATTACTAAGACTTCGCTGTCCGTCCGTCCGTCTGTCACAAAGCTCTATCTTATGAACCGTTATAGCTAGACAGTTGAAATTTTTACAGATAATGTATCTATGTTGCCGCTATAAGAACAAATACTAAAAACAGAATTAAATAAATGTTTATAAATAAAAAATACGCCAATTCTATGGTAATTATGTACCTCCGTAATAATTATAACCTGTCTTAAACATTTGGCAACAGTGCGAAAATCGTTTCAAAAAACTTTACCTTCTACCTGTCAAGGGATAATATCAGGTCATCTATCACTATATACTTCTCATCCCAATACCATGACTAGCGATATGATTATAAACTTTTCTTAACGATCCGCGTTCCTTTATTCCTATTGGTCGATTGAACGAAGGTCGAACAACGCCAATCGGAACAATTTGGCCACGAGGAACAGGATTTGGGAGCGGAGATTAAGGGAGAAAGGTCCTGCTAAAGTGGAGGGAATAATAAGATTCTTCTCCGACAAATTTTTATTTGTTTTTGTTACGACGCCGACGCTGTTTCTGTGTTGGGAAGCTGGAAAAATGAAGATTGATTACCTACTGATCGATGGATAGTTTATCATTAATGTCAGTTTGCAATTTTGCAAAAGTTTTTTTTTTGATATTCATAGACTACAGTTATGTTTACGATGCAGGATTAAGTCATTTGATACTGCTGGTAAATTACAATTTAGGTAGCTGTTATTGAAATTTAAAATATTCTTTATCTTTAGAAAATTTTAAATATGTCAAAAACTTGACATTTTAGTCAAATGCTTATACTATTTATAACACCTTTTACATTTTATCAACAAAAATATTACAATATTTACTCTCTATTTAATTATTAATTTAGTGTCATTATTATTATTATCTAGATATAAAAAAATTAATTTTATTTATTTTATAATCTAGCTAACACGATAAGTAAATATTTATTTATTTATATTTATTCGTGTAAATGACGCTTCGAGGTCGTTTGCAAATTTCGTTCTCGCCATGAAAAATCGTGAACCGTATGTTGATAAGCAACGACCATGCTCTGAATGATGCTATACATGACCACAGAGATTCTTAGCTGTAAAAAGAATCAAATCTAACAATCAACAATAACTCAACTAATAATCTAGTAAATAACAGTTATAAACCGTGCTATTAAAAATTATATCGAGCATTTTGTGACATTAAGTAGATGAAATCTTCGGATAGCGGAAGCCATTGGTAGCGATAAAGTATTTTTGAACCTGTTTTATAAGTGGAGTGAAGATATAAGTATAAAGAACGCATTTACGGTAACAAGATTTCTCTGCTTCAGGGCGAAGAAAAAAAAAACATAAACGATGCAGGTTAATGTGTTTAATGTTTGTACGAGTTGAGGCAAAACACAGAACGACATATTTTGTATTGGAAATAAAACTACGATGTCGAAGATTCATTGTCATTATTTTTTTTCAATTTACACTACTACGACGTTTCGGATAGTTATATTGATAAGTTGTAGTTATTCAACTGTATGAAAACTCTACTTCGCGTTAAGATTGTAGACTTCTTCATTGGGTTTCTTTAGTTTTTTTTTGTAAGCTCTTTGTACTTCAATACTTGGTTACCTAAAAAAATCACTGTTTTGAATAAAAATGATTACCTAAAAAATTGAGGTTTTTTTCGACAACTCTAGCTAACTTGAACGTAGTGCTGATTTGACAAATTATACTCTACGCTCTGCGATTTTTGATTTTATTAGTGTCAAGCGTGCATGCTTAGATGCAAAGTTTATTTATTTATAAGAGTTTTATAAAAAACATTATAGTTTGATCACAACTGCGAATTCGACGAGTAGAGGTCTGACTTATTAAAGAATCATAAACCTATGTTATTTTTTTGTAAGGAGTCCATGCTTGGGGAGTATGCACTCCTTACAAATCTTATTTTTACATGAGGAAACTCCCTGTATACTAACATTTTTTTGTTCTTTCCAGCACATGGTGCAGACGGGTATGACGGCGCCCTTCGGCGCCGCCGCCCCTGCCGCGGGTTTTCCCACCGCCGCACAAAACGGCGAAGTCAAAGCGGCCGAGGACAAATCGGCCTTACCACTACTACCGCCTCCAGCGACAGCACCGGGCGCCGGGCCGCCCTTCAGTCCGCCGCCCCCGCAAGGTCCGCCCGCTCCCGAGCCGCCCGGCGCCGGTCTGGTGGGCAGTCCGGCGGCAGCCGCAGCTGCTGCGGCCGCGGCTGCCGCCATGGCGCAGCAACAGCAGCAACAACAGCAGAACCACGCGCAGTATAAATGCGAACCACAGGTAAGAGATGATATATATATACATTCTGTTTACAGCGTTCTACGAGGTTTTCCGATTCTTAACTGCCACTCTTCTCTATCTGGCTACATGTTATCAGCAAGCTATCTTTGTTTCATTTCCTTCCTTATTCCTTCTCTCTTCTCTCCAGCTTGTTCTCGGTTCTTTATTCTCCCTTGATGCATCCATTTAGCAGTTGTTATATGTCCGTACCATATCAACTGTTTGGTTCTTATATCAACAATTGAAGGGTTCAGAAGGAACTGGATCAAGTCCTAGAAGATAGTTATGAAGAAAATGAGAGCTTAAGAAGAAGAAAACTTGACACAATGCTGTATTATATTTTAAATTGTATTGCAAACTAAAGTAGGTAACTCAAAATACAACTGTCGAATGTTTGTTTATGCTTTTTTGGACTTGAACCATTTTATCTCTGAAAATATTTGAAATTTTAGATATAAAATGGTTTATCGGTACTTTATCCTTCAATCATCGTGTCTTCATCATCAATCCCATCATCAATCCTATCAGCTCTAAATGCCTATTGAGCTGGCAATGTCCTCTATCTCTTTTTGTTAGACTTACTACAATTTTGACAGTTTTTCTGTCTTTGTTTATATCGTGTGCCATAAATGCTTTTACGCAGCTAGGCTATCTGTGAAGATGACTGTATGTTCTTCCTACCTTACTATTTCTACCACACAATAATGAATTGCCGTTATTTTCGCCAGAAAAATTGCGATATCTCATATAAAAATCATATGCTGGTTTGAGACAACTGTATCCTCACCGTTATTATCTGAGCCATAAGCTCAAGGCTAACTTGTGTAATGCCCTAGTTTTGTCGCATTTTTCTCATTGTGCTCCATTGTATTCGCAAGCCTTAAACACTCATGAAGTGTATCGAATACAAAAAGTGCAGAATACATGTTTGAGATATATTTTTAATCTAAGAAAATTTCACCATGTTTCGCATAAACTTCGAGAATTGGAGTGGCTCAGTATGAAGAATAGGCATCGTTTGGGCACACTGAGTCTGTATCATTTTATTATTACTACCCAAGAACCAACTTACCTGTTTGAAAAGATTCAACTTAGAGAGAATGCGCATAGTGTTAATATTAGAGCAAAGGACACTCTTACAATTCCCTACCATAAGACCTCTCTTTTTGAAGGTTCGTTCAGTTAGTGTATTGCGAAATTATATAATGAATTACCTTCAAACCTAAAAACTCTAAATATTCATACATTTAAGATGCATACCCGTCGATGGCTTTATGAAAATCAGTAGGTCTTTTTTTTTTTCTTTATCTGACTGAAACTTTTTTTCTTCTTTGAAATTGAGTTTTTTTTTCACTGTTTTTTTTATTGATTTGATTTGCTTATTATTATTTTTTTTATTGTTCTTTTTTCATATGACATATTTTAATCTTTTTCACCTTTTATTATTTTTTTTGTTGTACTTCATTCGGATTATGCTTCGGAGTTAAATGGAAGAGCAGAAGCATTATGCTTCTGAATTTCGCTCCATATATAAATATTGGGTTTTGATATATTTATATATATATATATATATATTATATATGGTGTGATGGTGTAATTATTTAATTTCTATGATTTCTTACTATTTTAATGTATTAATAATTAACTGTATTTTATTTTACTTTTTTTTGGAAATAAAGGCATTATTATTATTATTATTATTATATCTTAGTAACCGAACTAGATATAAAATGGTTTATCGGTACTTTATCCTTCAATCATCGTGTCTTCATCATCAATCCTATCAGCTCTAAATGCCTATTGAGCTGGCAATGTCCTCTATCTCTTTTTGTTAGACTTACTACAATTTTGACAGTTTTTCTGTCTTTGCTTATGTCGTGTGCCATAAATGCTTCTACGCAGCTAGGCTATCTGTGAAGATGACTGTATGTTCTTCCTACCTTACTATTTCTACCACACAATAATGAATTGCCGTTATTTTCGCCAGAAAAATTGCGATATCTTGGTAACCGAACCTGGTATTCAAGTATACATTAATTTTTAACTCGGTTAATATAAGGTTAATATCACACAAAAGCGCTTTAAGTGAAAATTTCAAATGATAAATTACAGCAGTACATTTATGGCGAATATATTTTGAAAAATTAAAATATTAAATCTCGATTATACTCTCTCTCAGTTCTTTATCGCAAGTGCCCTAATATAAATCGGTCTAATGCTCCTGTCTAAATTTAATACCTTCATTATTCGCTAGAATCCCCATTCTGACACCTGTAACGCGAAATAAACGATGACGAAGTATGTAAACCGGCTGCCGTATATTAAAGTGACGAGTTTCATTAAAACTTTTTCTCTTGTTTTTCGAAAATCCGCTTTTTCTGGATAACGACCAGTCAGGAAATCGATAGAACGGGGATTGTATTGTCTGTCATATTTAGGAGAAAATTGGAGATTTCTGGACAAAGGATTTCTTTTGTATTTAAATACAGATTATTATTAAGCTGGATTTTAAATTATTAACTGCGATTTTATGTGAGATTTTTTTTATTAAAACTTACAAATGGTTTTAAACTTTTAACCATAGAGGATAAGTAAAAATAATAGTTATTTTTTATACAAGACGATAAAATGGTATTTTATCGTCGACCGAAAATTATTAATTCACGAGCGATGAAATCGCGATTGAATTAATTCCGGGAGTCGATAATGCAATTTTATCGTCGCGTATAAAACAATATTTTTTTTACATAGCGAGTTACCTTTTAAAAAATATTCAGTAATTATTATTTCAGTGCATTTATTAGGAGTAGAAAAAATATTGTGCTGGGTTGGGCGTTGGTTTCTTTGTAATTTGACAAATAAAGCTGTCTCTTTAGTTGTCAGTTTTGAGTCAATATTTTTTAATTCTCCTTCGTGTCCTTTGCCGATTGAATTGGAGCCAGAAATGGCTCAAAACGAAATAAGTAAATTACCAACAGATATTCAGGCTGATTCATTTTGAGACCCACTTTATTGCTGGCGGTATTTAGTTCGTTAATTTGTGTTTGTAGTTCTTCAGGATTATTGGCAATTAGGACTGTGTCATCAGCGAATCTTAGATGGCTAAGATATTTTCCATCTATTTTTAATCCTTTATTGGTCCATTCTAGGTGACGGAAGATTTCTTCTATTATTTTGTTACATCTATTCAAATATCACAAAAATAATCTGGAAAAAATGAAATCGGAAGTATTTAGATTTTTAAGCCTGTTAAGGTGACATTTTGATCAGTATCAAATTGCTCAACTCTGCCTTCATTTAACCGATCTTGTATCTTCTAGTTTGACAACATTTTCTTTTTGTTTACAATAATGAGACTCGAATTTGTGACACCCGGTACATAACGAAAATAATATGAAAATTACAAGACTGATGAAACCTTTTTAACTCTATCCGCCCCTTAAAACCAATCCTCACTAACTGAAACCATGCATAATACATTCCAAACAGATAACTATGATCATTAGATCGAAAATCTCTCTCTACGTTGTAGCTAAGAGTTTATTAATTCTTGACAGGAATACAAAAGGGAGAAGAGAAAAACAAGTTATCGAGAGTCTAGAACTCGAGGTCACGTACGGGTCTAAACTTAATGAAAAGAAAAAAGTTGTGTAACAGTTTGGCTCCCTTTTCAAGTGGGAGAGAATAACTTCGGCAACAGTTATGGCAGGGAACTTTTAAATTAAGTTCGTGTCCTTTCTCACTTGTTTCCAACTTAAATAGAAAGCGTGATTAAGTTATTAATTGTCCAGTTTGGAACAGCGCCATGCGAAATAAATATCTATTTTATGATGAAATGTTCTTTTTTAAAAATGATTTATTAACTAATTAAGAACCTACCTAGAAATTGGCTTATCTTATGTTATTGTAGCAAGGTAGCTACTGAGCTTCTTTGAAGCTGATATTATAAAAACTATCGAGATTGGTGAAAAGCATATTGGATTTAAAAATGGTCTCTTTGTGAAAAGTTTTTGACGTTGATTTTTTGTCATTTTCAGGAGACTGAACACCAACAAAACGGCACAGCACAACCGCCTACCTCAGAGGCATCGGAGAGTACAAAACAGGCGCAAGGCACGCAAGCAGCTACCGAATTGGCCAACCAGCCCAAGAGACTGCACGTCTCCAACATTCCATTTAGGTTTAGAGACCCCGACCTTAGGGCCATGTTTGGTGTAAGTAAAGTATCAGTTTTACTCTTTATTTAGAAGCATCGCATGGTTAAGAAAATACAAGTTTTAAGATTACCTGGTTAATGTCTCCATTGTATCCTAAGGGCTTATTCGTATTATGCTTACTATAGTATAATCACTCACAGTATTTTTGGATAATCAGCGAGATTGTACATGTCAGCCCTTTCTACAGGTCAGCGATATATAATTTAATTGTGGATGATGGAATTTTATGGGGAATTGCTGTTTTATTTTATTATAATCAATTTTTTTTTGACCATAATCAGATGGATTTTGCTAGTGGTAGCCAGTCTTTTGGCATTGTTGCTCAAAATATTGTATATCTTACGTTCTGATATTGCTTATGTTTTCTAGCTATGATCAGCTTATGTTTTCATCCGATCTTCTTTTTTTTCTGGACTCCAGTCTAAAGAAACTGGTTAGTAACTTTTAGCTATTTGGGTGATAAGAGAACATTTTTGTCCTCCACCAAAATTATTTGTTTTTTGAACAATTGCAATAATTTTAAACTCGAGAACAACGCTTTAAAAAATAAGGTTATGTATGCATTCAATAATTGAACAATTGGTCTTAAAACATATTATGTAAATGACGTTATTACAATTGACAACAACAATACTATACGTGATTATTAAGTACCTACATCCTTTGTTGAAAATATTTGTATTTTTATTTAGAGCTTGTTTACTAGTCTAAAGTGTCTCTTTAACGTTTAGCACTGTTTATCAGCTGTCACCATTGTGTCATCTACATTACTCTTGAATGAGAGGCTATTATCAACTTTATTCAATTTTGTGAATATTTCCTACAGCTTTTTTAGAATCTTCTTTGGCTGGTTGCTATGTATTTCTTCATGATGTTCAGATCTAAAGAAAAATACCTTTAAAACGGTATTTAGAAACAACCTAATTACTTGTTCAAAATGAAACGGTTAATTTTTGTTTTGTACTTTTTTCAGCAATTTGGACCAATCCTAGACGTAGAAATAATTTTTAACGAGAGAGGATCGAAGGTATGTTGACAATCAATATAAATTAATAATTTAATGAAATAGTTTTTGAGCCAGCTATGTTGCTATTAAATTTTGAGTCTTAATAAATGAATGACATTGTAGAAAAATACTCGAAAATCGCCATAATAAATCATTATTTTGATTAAATGGTCAGCGATTTTTTTATTTTGTCAATAAAATTTCGAGTATTTTTATATAATCTAGGTTTAATATCAGTAAAAGCAAATATCAGTGCTGTATCTAGATTAGAAGCGATTTGGGCTTTCCATAACTCCTTTTAATATCGATTAGGGATGTCCTGTTTAAGAAAAATGTCGATACTTATTTTTTTTTTATTTATTTCATATTTGGTGGTGTATCTTGTATCTTAAAAACAGTTAATGACAGAAAAAATATTCAAAGTTATATATCAAGTTTGAGTGTAATGAAACTATACTTACCTTACTCTAGCCTTTTGGCTGTCAGACAAATTTGTTACTCTATCATGGCCTACTTATTACGTGAGGTATTGTTATGTGATACCATTTTCTATAAACAATTTCTATTGATCGCAAAAAAATACAACTCGTGATTAACATGACCTAGGGCTACAATATATCAACGTCAGTTTAAAAGAAAACACAAACCAAAAAATAATATATTGTTAAATACTTGCTTAATAATTTATTTTAATTTAAAAATCGACAATAGAGAAAATATCGATACTTCGATATATCGATAATTTTGGACATCCCTACTATCGATATTTTTGTAAAATTAATCAACCTTTTTATACTATGACATTTTTCACCTGTCAAATGTTTAGATCTAATCTATCATTAAAATTCCAAGTAAATCAGATTGTGGTAATTTAATATTTAAGCTGTTTGACTAGAACTGGTAGTTCGTAGCAAGTTAACATCGGTATTTTTAGGGTATTATTCCTAAATGAAAGCCTGTAGATTTGGTACTGCTGAAATCTTATCACACGTTCACTTTTTATCTTCATTAACACCAAAAAATTAATTTTCAACACGCGTTAACAGTTTTTCAAGTCTTATTTCATAACTTCTTTAATAATCAGCATCAGTTTCAACATTGTGTTTCGTTAATCGAAATTGATTAATTAAGTAATTGAATTAATATTCTGTATTGTCTACGATTCCAAGTATTCTTGTTATGTGCTTGGAATATATTAATTACCTGCATTGGTCATTTACCAATTATACCATGGCAATAATTCAAATGCTCGAAACGATTATTCATTTACAACGTGTGTGTATATAAATACAAATTTACATAAAACATTATGTTTAATTATATTAAATAATTAATATATATATTGAATAAACATTAGTTTTTTAGGATCTTACAAAATCATTTCGTGTCTATGTATTTTACGTTTAGGTATATACAGGGTGTAACATAATTGACTGCTAATTATTCATAATTGGTTTACGTTTTAAATATTATACAGGGTGAGTCTTAAATAAGTGGAAATATTTTTTCAGGGCTGGTAGATCTCGATAAAAGAAACATATTTTTTCTTTACCGTTTTTTTTCCAAAATAACCGAGTTATTTTACTTTGAAAATTTGCAAAAAATGATTTTTTGCTTAAATTTTGAGAACATTGGATCTGGAAATTTAATCTACTACCTATGTTGCCATATTACCAAGAAATTATGTTTTTAACTAAAACCAGCTGAAAAATTCACCAGCTGACCAATTCGGGAAATAAGTGAAAATCAATATGGTGTCGAAAATAATGACGTAACTACCAAGGATCGAAAAACAAACTGTAGCCTGTCATTTTAATTCTGCGGTAAATTGTATTTTCTGTCATTTTATTGGTGTCATATCTTTTCGGACTCGTTGTAACAACATAATGCCTTATTGTTGTTACTGACAAGTTCTATAACATTTTTATTGTAACCTTTGAATAAGAAGACTAAGGAAGGAGCATAATGCTATCCATGTATTCATGCATGGTGGGCGGAAAAAGCACTCTAGGGTGGGGATCCTTGACAGTTCTGTTTGACGATTCATTTGACACATTTGAATTTGATTTGAAATTTTATGGATTTGTCAGTCTTTACGGAGCTTATTTTATGTTATTTATTATTTACTGTATTACTTATAGTTGTATAAAGGTAGTAAATCTAGATGGAAATTGTGGCAGAACTTAAATTAACAGTGACACTATCGCGATTTATCGAAAAAGACTCTAAAATAGTTGGTTGTGTAGCGTGCGGTAGATCTCGGCAAAAATCGAGTGAAATAATGGAACAACTTTTCGCTAGTAAGTGACTATATACTATACATACGTGTAGTAAACCGATCATTTATGAAATTCACTTAAATTAACTAATTATATATTTTTTCTTGCATTTTTGCTTTTATTTACTACTTGTCAAAGATTAGATCAAATATTAGATGTCAAAGCATTTAGATACGTCAATTTGATTTACCAGATTTACCTGCTTCAGTAGCGTATCGGATGTTTGTGTTAAAAAATAATTATTAATCAAACCAAATCAAACTTATCTATTTTTATTAGAATTATATATTTTTGTAACAATTTTAAGAACTACCAACATTTATTCACAATGTCAAATACAACATATTATAGAGTCTACCCCACGTCTACCCTACATCATAGTTTTACATTTTTTAAATAAAATTAGAAAGGCACTGATAAACCGGAATTTAAGTCGGCCATATTTGAGGCCCATCGCGGTGGACCTAAGATTTTTGATATGCGCCTTTCTTAGTCTTCTTATTCAAAGATTGTAACTAATAACTTACCCTGAACAAGGTTTAGCACTAAATTACGACACCCTGTATAAACAATAAAAGTTATAATGTATTCATATATCATAAAATGAACCAATTTTTTACATTTCCTAATATTATTCTCATTATTAACAGATTGTTGATAGAAACTTGAATTATATAGATCTGTAGTTTATCGCATGGCTTATGAAAAAATGTGGTTTTATATATTGCATTTATATTGAATTTAAAACACAGCTTTTTGTGCTTCAATTAGATTGGACGACTTCACACGTTATATGCGTTAAAGAAAGTGTATTTTTGTCATCTTGGCCCAATCCTAACCTCCTTTTTAGTTTTAGGTGTTGTTTAGCCATGGGCGTTAATAAACAAAATAGGATCGTGATTAAAGAGCAACAGTATGTAGCTTGATACTTTAACCATAAACAGTTTATTTTTTTCTTTTGTATGATACGAATAAAAAGGCATTTCGAAAAAAAATAACTGTACAAACCATGATCATTACTATTTTTTGAGATGAATTGAATTTTCTAGTTGTTAATCTGCATGGAAGTTGAGTTATTCGAGTTTGTAAGTGTTATTTTGTTTTTTTTATTTTTTTGGAAAACAGAACTAAATGTATTGTTCTCTAGGCACTTGACAACGTTGCACTACTTATCTATGGGCTTTTTATCTAGCGAATAACACCATAAGTTGTATAACTTTCACGTTTAGATTTGATAGCAGCAAAGCTGAGTAGGCTCTCTTAAATCTTTTTTCACGAACATTTTATCAGAGAATTTTATACAGTGTAATTATTATTATACGATGCATGTATTTACTATTTTATTTGAATTTGTTGGCACGTTAATAGATCTTTTTGTTGGTCAATAATAATAATTTATTTCAAGTTGCCAAAATATCTCCTTTTTTTAGTTGTTTCAATATCTTTGTTCTTGAAATGTTTTACATTATTTGGCTTCATTTAAATCTATTAAACCAACAAATAAAATGACAAATTTTTCAAGAAAAAATAAGTTTTTTTTTTGAAAAATTTGTTATAAATATATAATTCTTTATACATATATTTATCGTTCAATTGTGCAATTCGACTATGACTTTATACTAAACATGACATATGATGGCGTAGTGAGATTTTGGTTTTTCATATGATTGTGCTGTAGCAGCTGTCAAATCGTCTTTAATTTTGTTTTTAAATGACATTACTGTCAACTTCATATCCATTTACTTTAGCACTGAGGCCTGACACTACTCGTTATTTTTGTTTTTATTTTATTTCTAATAAAAAACAATGTCACATAAAAAATATAATTTTATTTTGAGTATAACTATGTCTAGCTTGAAGTTTTTGACAGTGACATTGGAAGTCATTTACAATGGTTTGAAATAAACTGTAACTGTTTCGTTCTCGAGAGCTTCAAGTGGTAGACACAGCTAAGCTCAAACTAAATTATTTCTATGGTTATTGTGACGTCGTTTTTATTCCATCATGCGCTATACAGGGCGAGTCTTAAATAAGAGCAAATATTTTCAGGGTTGGTAGATCTCGACAAAAGAAACATATTTTCTCTTTGCCGTTTTTCAAATAAGTCCAAAATAACCGAGTTACATATTTTACTTTTTATTTTTTTTTGTCTTACTATTTTTTTGTTTTCTTTCTTGTAACTTTAATGTACTGCCTATCTTGTCATATTATCAAGAAATTATGTGTTTTAACTAAAAACTAAAAAATTTCCAAATTTTTTTCAAGAAACTCCAAATTTTCAAAACATTTTTTTCGCAAAAAAACTGATAGACGTGTTTCTTGGGTCGAAATATACTACCCCTAAAATATTTTCACTTATTTAAGACTCATCCTGTATAATGATTTTCTTTTTTAAATAAGTTTGTTTAAGTAAGCATGATATAAATTAGTTAATTTGAGTAATATGAATTAATTACAAAATCATTCCTCCATTAGTAAATTTAGCGTTCTCAAAATGTAAAATGGTGATAAAAAAATGGTGTCATTGTGGTCTTTGACATGCCAATCAATAGCAATTTCTGTCGGGTCTCCCCTAGATCTGAGTTATTAAAAAAAGACAGAAATACTTAAACACAAATTAAAAACTTAAAAGAAAAATGAATAACAGAAAAGTAATAAAATCATCAAAAAAACAAATATTTTTCAAAAAATTAACGAAAAAATCTGAAAATATTTTTTTTTAAATAAAAATAATTTCTTCAA